TATATATATAACCCTTGTCTCATCTTGTAGAACTGTTTTAAATTGATTTTGAGTCAGTGGTTCATATGACCTTCAAAAAAAAGTATTTTATTATGTATTTTATATTTATTATGGCAAATGCGCATACTTGAAGGAATGTTTTGCCCCGAACGCCAATCAAAGAGTGGAACCTGACTAATTGCACTATCATCTTCCTTTACTTCCACTGGCATGGCATACTATGTTTGCATTGTTTAAACAGTTATTGCACTATTCCATATAGTTGTTATTGGCTGTTATCTCATTCCTGCTCATTGTTCCTGGGATTAGTTTTTGCACAACTATGGTGTTTATTTCATGTTGCTTTTACTTTCACTTAATAGAATGGGTTTAAATATAGTATCAAATGTAGGGCTACATTTCTTTATTGCAAGGAGCAAAAGGCGAATAGTTTTTTTTTTCTGCAGGAAACTCATTCATCCAATCAGGAGGCTAAATTCTGGAAACTTCATTGGAGTGACCAAATTTATTTTAGTCATGGTACTTCCCATGCTGTTGGGGTTATGATTATGTTTCATTTAGGGTCTTTGTTGAAGCATATTGGTGATACATATGGCCACTGAGTAACTGTAACAGTGGAGATTGAATGAAATAAGATAATTATGGTGTGTGTATATGGATATAATAATAAAGTTATGAATAGTACAATAAAACAACAAAATATTCCACTGATCAGGTTGATTTAGGAGGAGGTTTCAATGTAACTACAGATGCGTCGATTGATTGTCTCCCCTCCTGGGAGCAGCAGTATATGTATAATGATATTTTTGTAAAGTAAAACTCTAATTCAAATTTGACAGACTGCTGGAGAATTAGAAATCCTGATACTAGACAATACTCCTGGTTTAATCCTTCTGGAAATGGCCAGACCTCTAGGCACCTAAATTATTTACACTAAAAACTCAAATGCTTACCTTACTAATTATGAAAAATTCTAATTTGCATGGCATTAATATTTTTGATAGGAAATTCAAAATAAGTCAATTCGCTGACAACACAACATTTTTTCTAAGAGATAAAAGTATGGGAGACGTTGCGCTAAAATCCATTTTAAAGTTTTGCTGTGTGTCTGCTCTGTCTCTCAATATCAATAAATGTTAATTTCTGCTGATCCATTCCAGCTCTGAGGCGTCTGTTGCCTCCATTACAGTTGAGTCTGAAGTTACATATTTGGGAATATTAATTTCGAAAAATACTATTAGAAGAGAAAGGGAAAACATTGGTAGTTGCTTGAATGGCATAAAGAGATCCTTGAGTCATTGGTTAAATAGAGATCTGACGATGTTTGGATGAATTCTTTTGTCCAAAGCTGAAGGAGTATCTAAATTGATTTATCCATGCCATCGTGCTTTTTTTTCTGATAAAAATATTAGGAAAGCCAATTCAATAATCTTTCAATTTATCTGAAGGAATAAAAATGCAGCCTAGGCGGAAGTTCATTGCTCTGCTTCATCCACCTGCAACACAGCCAATCAACTTTGAACCACACCTCTACGAAAGCCAATCGGCATCCAAAGTTAATCTTAAAAGGCCTCCGATACGCACTAGTCTGCGCTTGTGTGCAGGTGCTGGATACGCTGTGACTTCATTCAGATGACCCCGTTTCAACCCACCTCCAACCCCTCCTCCACCATCGTAGCTAAAGCTTAATCAAAGTGTCATTCCTCCTAGACTCTTACTGCGTTCCCTGTCTCATCTCAACCGGTCCGGCAGAAGACCGCCATGTTGAGCCTGGTTCTGCCAGAGGTTTCTTCCCAACGGGGAGTTTTTCCTCTCCATTGTCGCTGCATGCTTGCTCATTATGGACCGGTTCTCTCAACTTGTGTTATTAAACTGGACTTCCATCTTCCAGGTCCCTGAGTGAAGCTCTAGTATCAGCTCACGCAGTCCACTGGATCTCCCCATAAAGCTCAGCATACCGTCTCGCTAACCAGCAGTCTACAGACTGACAGCTTCATCTAAATTAAGTGCTACGTTTCCTGCTGAGGTCTGAGCGCCAAAGACAAAGTAATTGTATCAATAAATGTTTTCCTAATTGTCTTTCTCTTTCTGTGACTTTTTCAGATTGAACTCACTATTTATGACAATCTCATCTCATGAAAGATTATGATAAGGGTGGTATTAGCGCTGTAGATTTTGAGGCTCTGATCGATTCATTTTGGATAAATTGGTTAAAGACCTTTTTGTCTCATTCCAATTCAATGTGGTTTCATATCCCTAAATCTATATTTAATAAGCTTGGTGGCTTGGGTTTCTTGCTTAAATGTGAATTAACCAAGGCTAACATTTCACTGTCTAATTTTCATAAACAAGTTTTACATTTTTGGAAGATGATATTTACCCATAACTTTACCCCTCGTTGATCCATAGTGTGGAATAACACATCAATAGTAATAAATAGAAAATCTGTTTTTAAAACTGACTGGTATGAAAAAGGTATTTTGTTTGTATGGACAGTAATGGTGTTTTGCTAAATCATAGATATTTTACTTACAAATTTAATCTGTGCTGTACTTGTAAGAAATATATATAAAATTATGTGAGTTATTCCTTTAGCTCTGATCCATCTCATCCAAAACACCTTAAGATATTCAAAGGTTATTTAATTTTTACCCAAATTGAACATTGGAGAATATTGTGTGACTGATAAAAAATGTAACAATGTTAGGACTGGGACTGCCTTCAAATCTTATTTATTTAATGATTACTATAACAGTTTTTTGACAATGAATTTGCCTATATTTGAGAAGGTGTTCTCTAAATATGTTAAATGGCAGGTTTCACCAAAGGTTAAAGAGATTCACTTTAAAATCTCTCACAATATTTACCCAGTGGAAGACTTTTTGCACAAAAGATTTAAATTTGATTTAACATGCTGTGCCTTTTGTGAATGTCAAGATAAATCTCTTAATCATGTCTTTTTTCCTGTCCTTTTTCTTTTAAACTATTGTAGTGGGAAAAAAGTATTCAACTATTCACCCTAGTTAATTAAACAGAGGTCGATGGATTTCACTCAGTCTGTACTTTATTAATCATATCATATCTTTGCAAAGAGCGAACAGTTCATCATACATTATGGCACAGCATTCAGCCCTGTTCTGCCTAAGCAGCGTTCCTTCCCCCTTACTTACAGCAATGGAAAGTAGCCAGAGTCAAAACAAATTACAGACACTTTGGTTAACAGTAAAATGTTATGAATAAACCTTGAGAAAAAATCTGGCTTGTTTTGGGAAGAAGCAATATCTGGTCTACAAACACCCTCACGCTGGAGAATTGTGCTTAAATAGGATACATTGATATACGAAATAAGAGAAATTAAATTTTCTGACCACACTATGGAGAGATATTAAAAATGGGTTGTCCATTAAAATTGAGAGCATCCCAGAAATAATCATCTCCCACAAATTGTACAATGTTAATGACCATGATAAAATATCAGATTTGGTAAATATTGTGCTCTTGCATGTCAAATATCATATAAATTGCTGTAAATGGAGAGGTTCTACTCCTTGTTTAGATTTTTTTTCTAAACCACTTTAAAATGTATTTTACCTCATTCAAACATTTGAAAACTGTTACTGCAAAAAAAGTAACCTCCAGTATTTCTACTTTTTGTGTTAAAGCCTGCTTAATTTTCTATTCATTGGCCTTACCGTTTAAGTATATTTTCTTAGTTTTAGCCCCATGTTCTATTTTTTTTCTCTACCCATGTATACTGTTTGTTATATCTCTCTCTCTCTCTCTCTCTCTCTCTCTCTCTCTCTCTATATATATAAATATAAATGTTCAGTAGGGATAAAATAGAACTTGACATGTGGATTTTCGTGAAGAGCAGCCAATAATGGGCAGATTGCTTTGACCGGTGGATCAGTAGCCACCAGAAACAGGTCCAAGTGCAAGGAGGGGGGAGGCTGAGTGGGAATAAGCACTCGTGTGTAATATATTAAGGCCCTGTGGTATTTGTGCATTTGACAAATTAAACATGTGCACAAGGAGTAGATTATGAGCACCTATATGAAGTGAAGCTGCTTGTAGGAGTTTTTATTAAGTGTGTTTTTATTTAGAGCTGTAGGCCTTTCCTAACTGTGTCAGATTTATTGAATCTACTGGGTGAACACCTTTCAAGGATGCTCAGTGGAAAGAGTAAGCACCTCCACTTAATTATAAACTACATAGTAAATGCTATAAACATTTTTGGAAATGCAATAGCTTATTTTCATTTAATGAATTTTCAACAATCTCATGAACACTTTTCACTGTCATAATGCAGTAATGTGTATTGAATTTTTTTGAAAAGATCATTTCATACAATTGGGAATGTGGAAATATTGCATTGCTGTCACTTTTCAAGACGCACTGCCTATCAAAATATTTATGTAATTGGGTATTCCGCTGATTTGGATGCCTGTGTAAATTCTCAGTTATCCGGGTCGTGGCATCCACAAAACAGGCATACATTAGAAGGCAACCAGACTTTTGTTGTAGTCCTATTTAAAAAACATTGCCATGTACAAAGAAAAATTCCATCAACCCAGGAGAATGCGAGGTGGCCATTTGATCTGCATTTCAATTGAAATCTGCTTAAAAACAAATGCACTCCAATTACAGTTTGCTCCTATATGAGTTGATAGAATGGACATTTTCTTGGATAGATTTTGAAACATCGTTAGAAAAACTGAGCAAAAAATGTAATACTTCACATATCATTAATTTAATGTACACCTTACTGTGTTCCAAAGGACCCATGTGCGGCTACAAAAAAAAAAAAAAAAAAAATCAGAAGCTCTGAATCTTCTGGTGATTGTATCAGTACAGTGCCAGCTTCCTCTGTACTGAAAAATGTCTCAAACAAAACAATGTAATGCATCTGAGTGGGTTGTTCTTTCAATAAGATTCACTTATTTTAATAGTTCATCATGGCAATCACAAAGAAAAAAAAGTCATCTATGCTTTAACAAAAGGTTGTTTAAAATAATTTTATTAGAAGCAGACTAAAATAAAATACATATTTACAATCATTATAGATCAATTTGACTGCATGACGCGGACTTTGAAACTGGTCATGAAAAGCAGAATGTTTCTAATAAAATATTATCCATGATGGAAGCTCATGTAAAAGTAGACAAATTGTAAGAATTTTCAAGGAATATATCCTAAAAATTAAATAATTCATACAAACAAAAAAAGATTTGATGAACTAAAGGCAAATTAGCTTTATCTACAAGATTCATCAAGACGGCATTCATGTGTAAATTTGTGTAACAGCAGCAGCTAAAAAACTGTTTCATACATCATATAACATTTGGCTATCCATCAAAGAATATAAAAAACATAAAAATTAAAGCAAATATTTACATTTAAAAAGTTTAAACTATCACCATTCTCCTAAAAAAAAAAAAAAAATCACAGTAAGTTTTATAAGCATATAAACAAAGAGAAGTCTAGTCTTCTGAATCCACTGGAGGGGCGGTCACTTTTAAAGTCCTATTAGATGATTAATCCAGGATCTTGTCCGTTAGGTCACAGTAGGCTAAACTCCAGTTTTCTCTTTGATCCAGCCACGAAATTTAGTGACTGCTGTATAGATTCCAGGTTTGTTCCTACGAGCGCAGCCATCACCCCAACTCACCACTCCTGCAAGGAACAACCTTCCATTGCTTTCTGGACAGGATAGAGGTCCGCCAGAATCTCCCTGAAAGAAGGAAATGCAGATTCAGTTCAATCTGTTTAAACCCCGTAATAACATGAAGATGAAAACTGTCACCAAACCTGTGAAATGTGAGAACATCATAGAAAAATATGAACAAATCTAAGCATTATGATCATATAGCCTCTGGCTACCTGTTACCTGCTAATAATGCTACAACTAGGATTTTGAGTGTTATTAAAGGTAGCATATTTTTAAGAATGGGCTATGATCAACTCATTTCCAAAGTACAAAATACTTAGGTTCTGAGTTTGAGCCCCACGCCCACAGACTGCCACTCTGCGCCTCTAAGAAAAGACCCTTAACCCCAGAAGAATTGCTCAGGTTTGAGCACTGAAATTACACGAGAACTACAGTAACTGATATCTATGTCACACCAGGACCTCCAGTAGGAACTAAATAGATATGTACTTGTTTTGGTTCCTGAGGGGTAGATCATTTGCTATGAAGAGCAACATTTGGCAAGTGAGCCTTGAGTTTAACTCATATTCCGTATCAGCAGTTCTCTGCCCTGGTCCTCCTGCCCTGCATGTTTAAGATGCATCTCTGTCCTGATTCAAATTATGATGGAAGATTCATTTAACCCTGGTGTAAGGAACAGGATTGATAACAACTTCTAATGTATTTGAAATGTAAATATGATTAATTTTATAAAATGCCTTAAGATATAATTAATTGTGAAGCATCCCTACATCAGAAAACTAAAATGAAGCAAAAAAAAAGAAAAAAAATATCAATGAGAAGTCAGATAATAAAAAGACCAAAAAAGTGAAAGTAAAGGAAAAATTATCGTTTTACCTGACAAGCATCCACTCCTCCCTCCAGTATTCCAGCACAAAACATCCGGGAGGTTACTTGACCTTTCATTAAGTCGTTACACACCATTTGGTTTATTAGTCGGACCTGAGCTTTCTGTAGTATTCTGGCTGCACTTCCTAAAAAAACATAAAAAGAAAAAGATCATTGGAAAACAACATCCTACTGATAATTTGCTCTAGGAGGACAGCTGTGAAAGAGAACAAGGTGTTAAGCTTATAACATTAAGGACGAATGGTGACATTTTTTCCAAATGTTTAAAATATCCATCTATGTTGTATTTCAACCATGTATTGAAATAAATGTCAAGTCGAAGTAATAATTGCAGCTGAAATAAAAGCTCTAATGTGTTGCTGCGTACTCACCTCCCTCTCTTGTTGCTCCCCACCCTGTGATCCAAACACTTTTACCGATGTCAAAGTCATGTTGAGCGGATGGAAGGCAGATGGGCTGGATGTAATCTGAGTAGCTGACTGGACTGTTCAGCTCCATCAGGGCGATGTCATTGTCAAAGGTGTAAGCGTTGTAATAAGGGTGAGGTATGATCCTCTTTAGCGTCCTCTTCACTGCAGGATCTCCATTTCGATTCTGGTCTCGAAGGCCTGAGTAAACCTCCCAAGTCTCTGGACGAGAGAATCTGAAATCAAACGAGGAAACAGATTAATTACTTATACTTATTATACTTTATTTTTATTTTTGTGATCACTCTAGAAATATTGCTGGTGTGTGTTTGTAACTGTAATGGCTTCTTTGCACATCGTGCTTGGCCAGGACATCCATGTAAAAGAGGAAAACAATCTCAGTTTTTTTAAAGAAATAACTACATGAAATTCTAAAAGAGTAAATAAAACTGTGTTTTAGATGAGGTGCAAAATTACTTAGCCAGTCTCTTTTTGTGTGTATTTGGTTGTTTATTTCTTTGAAATATTTTTGAAGTTGAGAGCATCTCAAAAAGTAGTTATTTCATAAATCTGGATAAAAAAAAACAAACAAACTAAAAATAGACAGCCAGTACATAATATATACTTAGAATACTTACTTACAGCACTACATAAGTTTTTTTCATGGCAGTTGTGTGGAGAGGGAAGTTTCAGAAAATAAAAAAAAATATTTAATCATATTCCCATATCTTTTAGTTCTGATTTGTTTGGCCCTGTTGGTTCAGGTAGAATAAGACTGATAACTTTGGTTTATTACGTCTCATCAACACAGAATAAAGAAGAATCCTCCGGATCATGTATGCCAACTGTTGAAGCCATAAACTGTTATTCTAATATTTAACAAAAGAACTAGCTTGGTTAAAAAAAATAAAAAAATAAAAACCCTCAGCTTTACCTTATGCTACCGTCATCTTGCACGCAGTGGGCAGCGGTGACCACCCATTTTGGACTGATGAGGGACCCTCCGCACACATGGCCGTATGATTTAACATGAAGGCTGACCTGCCATGGAAACTCTCCGTCTTCTGCGTCTTGTCCTCCAACAATACGCACTGTCGACTTTAACTTCTTTTTCCCACAGTCTGTAAAACAAACAAACACAAAACAAACAGATGTAAGAGGACAGCCTTTGGCAGCTTGCCGTCAAACAGGTGGAATTTTAAAACTGGTTTGGTTGGAAAAGCTCAGAGCAGAAGATAAAGACGATGAGGCATTTAATCTCAGACATGTTATATTTGAAACATACCACAGTTCTCCTCATCTGAACCATCTTCACAGTCCTTTACTCCATCACACTCTGGGTTCACCTTATTGATGCAAATATTGTTCTTGCATTTGTACGTAATGTCACTGCATTCCAGATTCGATTCTGGGGAGGAAATATGACAAAAATAACATCAATTCTGTAGATGACAGCCCTCTGTAAAAATTATGAGATACATTTCTGATTTAGTAACACATGTGGAAGAGGCTCAATTTTTTAGGAAGTGAACAAACAAAAGTAACCTTTGGGCCAAAAGGTAAAATAGGTGTAGATTTCACTTGGAATGTGAGCAAATGCAAAACCCAACAACAGAGAGCTGCGTCCTTTCATCTGTTGATTGAAATAGCTGTTCTCAATGAATCAGTCTTCTTGGTCATGGCAACCACAGGACAGGCTTAAATCAGAGGCAACCAGAGCTTTTTAGGTTTTCCTTAGAAGTTTCAACCCCTATTCCAAGAGTTCTTTGTGTATTCTGTAGGCTTGCAGTGGAGAAAAAACTCAAACTGTCTTCAGAAAGACAGAGCCAAAGTCTGGATGCCACTGATTTAGGCTGTTTTTTAGTAATCAGGATGCTTGTCTACTTTCAGTAAAATAAGACTTAGACTTAAATTTATTTTGTCATTTTGTATACACGAGTGTAAACAAAAAGAAATTTCATTTAGATCAGCTTTAGACAATGTCATATTTTAAAGTGCAGCCTTGAAAACAGTAATAAATACATAAATAGTATTATAAACATATGACTTCATATTTAAATAAAATATAATAATAAAATGACCCATTTTACATAAAATTCAGCAGTCTAATGGCAACTATTACAGAATCTGCTGGACCTGCATCGGAATATATGGGCAACACCAACTTTAAGTGATAAAAACAAGAAAAACATCCTCTACTCTTACTTCCTTTACAGTTGAGCTCATCTGAACTGTCTCCACAGTCGTCTCTCTCATCACAGACCTTCTTCTCTGAGACACATTTTTGGTTCTTGCAGGCAAATTCTCCACTTTTACATAAGCCTGGAAAAACAAGAGGACATCTGACAAACTGGCCCATAACTGTGCCACAATAATTATAAAAAGTAAAGAGTGCTTACCACAGTTCAATTCATCTGTGTTGTCTCCACAGTCATTTACACCATCACATTTCCAGAACTTGGGCTTACAGAGCCCATTTTTACAGGTTATCTTGTCGGAGCTGCATTCTTGAGAGGAAGAGGTTGAAAAATAATTTACATTAAACTGACTTGTTAATAAAACCAGAGCTAAAACAAGTAATCAGTAAATAACATACTGCAATTTTCCTCGTCACTATTGTCTCCGCAGTCATTCCAGCCGTCACATGTTAAGTTACGATCGATGCACCACTGATTTTTGCAAAGGAACTTATTTGGGCAAGCTGTGGATGATGCAGAATGCATGAAAAATAGAAGGAAGCTCTGGAAAAAAACATTAAATGTAAACATAGCTCTGCCACTTACGATCTTTGATGTCAATGGCCTCATATTCTGCTAAAAAGCCTCGGTCCACGTAGGAGTAATCAGAATGAAAAGACACCTTTATTTTGTTGGTTTTGCTGGTTTCTACCAGTGTCCCTTTGAGGTTCTCTCCACACAGTCTGAAAAAAATATTTTCAGAGAAGTGACTAACCTGTTTGCCTTAAAAAAAACATACATTTTTAGCCCAGTTTAAAATCCCGGACTAATCTTTGGTGAACTTACTTCTTTCCATCATC